AACTGATTCCTTTTGGAAACAGTATGTTTTTAATGGGCCATTTTTTAAAATCAGTATCTATCATGTTTATTGAAGTTTTGAAATGAGGTATTTTCATTGTACAATATATTTTTCAGATTGCAGTTTATCTTTAGCATTTTTAACAGTGTTTCAGCTAATACATTCTGCAACCTTTCACTTCTGTATGTTACCTAACTTGATACTGTCATACTACTTCTATCCTTCTTGACTAGAACTCATGTTAGCAATATCACTGCTGTGAGAACAGCTGAGAGTGTATTCTGCTCTCTTATGAGAAAAGTGAAGCTCATAGTGCCAGAACTATGATCACTGCTTTTTATTTTTTTTTATCATTTCACCTAAAGCAAGGCAATAAAGCCACTAAGATTCAAGGGGTTACCATGTGAGAGTAGATGAGAAAAAAATCATTAAGGAGAGAAAACAATAAGAAAACAGGAATTGAGAAGGCAGAAGATAACAATTAATATTTCACTTAAAATTCTGAAGACTGGAAATTAAGAACTGGAAGAAAGTTTCCCAAGTGAGAAGTGCAAAAGAAGTAACTGTTAGCATAGAACTTAGTTATATCTAGCCAGTTTAACTGCAAAATGGTGAGACCTTACTGCCAATCTAGTACTGCACTTAAATTCATAAAGTCTAGATATCATAGAAAAAAGTTCATCAGAATGATTACCATGAAAATATTTATAGAAAAAGGCACATGGAAACTACATGACAGTGGTTCAAAAGTGTTGAAACTGAGATGCCAAGTCAAGCCCAGTAACATTGCAGTTTCTTCTTTGTATTTTATCAACAATCTCTGAATATAGAGCAGATGCACCACACCAGAGGTGGTATCAATATTCAATGCACAGATGAATGGTAGACTTATAAATATGTAAGATTCTGATGAGAAAAATTATCTAGCACAACACAGTGAGTCATTCTTCTAGAGATTACCATCAGCCATACTGATGGAAGGCAAAAAGGGTTATCTCAGACAAAAGAGTGCAGTTTTGTTTTGGCTGCTTTAAAACTAACAAGCCATTCATTGCCCCATTTAATATTAAATTGTAGGTCATTTTTGAGATCAACTGCCGATATGACCTTATTGAACTGATCAGACTTACTTGTTAACACAGGAGTAAATAGTTGTATCATCAACATAGATTCCGAGTTGGGAACAGATGACATCAGGAAGGTTATTGATGAAAATTAGGAACAACATAGATACAAGGATAGAGCCATAGAAGACACAACTGCATTAATGCAAAATATCTAGAAGAGTGGCTGTTCAAGACAACTTTCATTTTGTGATTTGATAAGAATGATTGAATCAGTTCAAAAATTTGTCCAGAAATAAACATAACCTTTCAACTTTTGAAGAAAACCAACATGCCTTAGTGATATTTAAAGCAACAGTTTGAGCTTCACCAATGTTATCTTACATCAGCAGTTGACCTAGAGAAGTGAAAGCCATATTGCTTATCTGAAAGAAGACTCTGTGATGTGAGATGCTTAGCCAATTCCAAGTTGATTACAGCATCTATTACTTTCTCAAAAATAGTTAGAAGGCTCATAGGCTAGTAATTAGAAGGATCAGACAGTTTGACTTAAAGACTGGAACTACAGAAGAGGATTTCCAACAAGCAGGGAAGAAAGAAGCAGCAAGACATTATTGTAGAGTTTAGAGAGAACAGGAGCAAATTTCTTAAGGACTATAGCATGGATTTCATCAATTCCAAATGTTTTGTGGGGATCCAGTTTAGAGATGATATTAAAAACCATGTATGGAGTTATACATATATCCCTCAATAGTGACTCAGTTCTCAGGGAAAAGTCAAGCATATGTACTCCAGATGAGTCAAAAGTAGAATCTGAAGAGAATTTATGAGCAAAAAAATTCTATTTTATCAGCAGCAAATGTTAACACCTCAAACTGAGTGAAGTGTGGAAAGATAGAAGACTTACTCTTATTTAACAAACTATTACAGAGTTGCCAGTAGTCACGAGAATCAAACCTTTTACATTTTCTCCATTTCTGTTTGCTGTCTTATTTTGACAAAATTCCAGATTTAACAGAGCAAATATAAGAGGAAAATGGGGCACTTTATGTGTCTAATTTTCCACTTATATATGCTCCGTTAAACCTGATTTAATTGTTTCACTTTGGATAACATATTCCTGTTGTTCTTGAAGGCTTAACCGATAGCTGATTTCTCCTTTAAAATCTCTAACATGGGACATTTAGTCAAATTGACTGAAGTGTGTTAAAAAATAAAATGTAGTCTTAATATATAATTTCCTATTAAACTTTTTAATGGCTTCAGCTAATGTAAAGTTTTATAACCTTTAACTAGCCATGAAAGATTTTATTTTATTCATAATTTCTAGATGATTTCCTTATGATGACTATACTGTCTGTTAGAAACAGCTCTTATAAGAATTATACTAGCTGTATTTTTTAACAAGTAGTGTAAGATCATAAACTGAAAGTTACCATTATTATAAAGTCTCTCTTAGTCATGTTCAACAAATATGCTTGTAAAAAACACCTGTTATCTATAGATATAGAGTAAGTTGAGCTTAACATTGAAACCTTGTGAGGATCAAAGTCATGACAATGGTAATGGCTTTTGAAAGTAATTTACCTAACTTATGTTTCTAACAAAGCATCTAATATATCACTATATATATATATATATATATATATATATATATTCTGTAAATTCATATATAGGAAGGAAAGAATATTTTTACAGTTATAAATAAAGGATGATAGAAGAAATTTGTATCTGTTATTTTTGTCAGTTTATTAGTTGTATACTGTCTGCTAAGAGAAGATGAATGTGTATTGTCAATTTTCCAAGTGAGAAGGCTTTGCAATCCTTAAAAATTGGGATTTGTCTCCTGTGGTACTGACCACTACAAGTTTTTCCAATGATTGTTCTCATTGAATCAATCCACAGATCGAAGGTGTAGAAGCAGCAGCAACACAATAAACTTACTGCTCCTTTCAGCCAAGAATCCTGTTCTTGTGACAACTGTGGAAAAACCTGTCTTGTGCAGGCCTCTCCAATCACTGGTGAGCCTACAACTGATATGGAGCCTCCTCCTGAATCCTTTTTCATGTAGCAAACCTATGATATATATATATATATATATATATATATATATATATATATATATATATATATATATATGTGATAAAAATATAATTTTAATGTATGCTATATTTATTGGTATCAGAAATAGACCATATGTAAATATAAAATTCAATACTGAGGTCAACATGCAAATTTCATAGCCTGAAGATTGCATTGATGCATAAAACAGACTGTTGCCAGTTGGTGTTGAGCTCAGTCTCCAATAATTACACACACACACACACACACACACATATATATATATATATATATATATATATATATATATATATGTGTGTGTGTGTGTGTGTTTTTATTTATGGTTAATTAAATAATGTCTATGTCTAGTATAGCATTTCTGAATATGATTTAAAAAATAAATTAATGAGGATATTAGTTTTTAATAAATCCTTGCCTAAAATTATAAATCAAATGAGCTTCTCCACCTGTAAAATAACTATCTATTCATGAATTTCTTGAATGAGAATCACCAAGCTGCTTTGTTTAGTAGCAGTGGACCAAGTTTTGGAATGTCTCTTGCTTTTTTCTGGCTTAGCTATTTTCTTAGGCATGCATGGGAATAGAATGCCAATACATCTCCATATAATTAAAAAAAAAAAAAAATAATAATGCTAATATGATATCTCTGCTCTTATCAGTTTTTCATTTTTTTTTTTTCTAACTTGGTTTTTCAGATTTGCATTTTGATCTGATATACCTTTCTTATACATTTTTACTTTAAAATTTAAAATCTGCTAATGATAGTTTTCTTTTTACTCTTTTTTTTTTTTTCTTTTAATAATCAGATTTTAACAAGTGCATGACTGTTAAAAATGTATGGATTATTTCCACTTTGAAAATCCCAAAACAAAACACTTTTTTAAGCTAAATAAAAAAAAAAAAAAATTTAAGCAGTGTGTTTATTGCATGTAAGACATTCAAGCATTATTTTTTTTTTTTAATTTTTCGGAATGCAATTTACTTAACAGTCTAAAAATATATATAATTTATCCTCTCCACCTATCATAACAAGATTTAAAAACCTCATTTATTTCTTTCATCAAATAAGCTCATTTATAACACAACTCTTAGTGTATTCTTCATAAATCTCAGGTGAATGTACACAACATAATCAAACTTATATTTTCTTACTCTTGAGCATGAAGTGAAATTTCTAAGGCATTTCATTCATAATCTTTGAGCCAAATATTTTAATTATTTGGTTTAGTGTCTGAGAAGTCAAAATAAGAATATCTTTTATATGAATTAATAAAATGTGTAGAAGTTCAATTTCTTCTTGAATGTTTAGAATTTACTTTTACCTGTTAACAAATATGTTTTAATTAAACATGTTCTCAAAAGCCCCTTTTCTTCAATGTGAAAGAGTTTGTAATAAAGTTTGTTTATATTTCATTGACTTACTCTCAAGAAAATCTAGGATGTTTACAGTGATTCTTAGCATTTATTATATTTTTCACAATAATCCATTAACTACAAATAACAGACATTCCTGCTATACTTAATAGGTAAATTAGTCTTGTCTTTTGGAATACAGAGTTCAAAATTATTAATAACTAACCTAATATCAAGATTTTGTTTGAAAAGATAGAAAAAAATGAAAATGTTAGTCAAAAGAAGTGAATGAGATAGGGAACTATGTAGAAAAAAAAAAAAGAAAAACCTCATCATTTAATATTTTCAAATTTTGTAAATTTATATAGAAGAGTTATTTTCAGATTTCTATATTTAATTATAAACTCACATATTATGTCCTCTGTAAAAGTAAAAAGTCGATCATTAAGTTCAGTGAGAAATTTATATTATCTCAATTTTTAGAGATTTTTATGTATTCTGATGATTAATAATTCAGGTAAGATATAAGCTTCATTTTGATATAGTTTGGAGTTTTGCTATGTCAAAATTTTACAATTCTCTTAAATAGATGAAAAATTAATGTGAAAAATTTTAATAGATCTATGTGGTCACTATACTATAAAACTGTTTTCCTAAGCATAATCTGACTATAATAGCTTCATATGGCAAGTCAACAAGTAGTTTTTCGCTACATAGCTACAAAGACCCTTGTCTACTACAATGCTATAGTGTGAGGTGAAACTATCATAACCAATCATTTTGTTCATCATATTGACTAGCCTCAAACTCAAAACAACACATTCTGGGGAATATAGAAAATAATATTACAATAAAAACTAAAGAAAAATTAATATTTCATATATTATTTTGTATTTGAGAATGAGTAAATTATTAACAAACAAAAATGGCAAAATTTGATCTTCAGAATTTTGAGAGAGGTTAATAAACAATCTTTTTTCTTTGATTTTCAATTTTTTCTTGAATCAGACCTACATCTGTGACATTTCTTTGTTCTTGTCTATTTAGAAACTACATTCAGTCATGAAAACACAAATAATTAGAAATCTGAATTTGGTAATCCTTTCCATTTAACAATATCACACTTGGAACATAACTAGTCCTTAGTGCTACTGCCTTGTTAGGTATGTTAATTATGGGAGGGTGGTTTTGCTCATTTGCTCTTCTCCATCCATCATTATGTTGACCCCAGTGAAGATGCATTCTGGCATTAAAAGGCATGAGTGCAAAGTGAACATAAAGTTTCAGCCAAAATTTGAACTGGTTGTTGATTGCATTTTCCATGTCAATAATGACACCTGGCAGTTCTATTTAAGAATGCAGTCAAAGCAGTGATTTTTCTAAATGTTGGTTAGAGCATTTCCCAAATTTTACTCAGCCTAATCCGAAATAACAAGGGAGATAAGTCAGTTGGGATCTTCTGACATGATGTTAGAAATAAATGATTCTGTAAGATTTGTTAAAGCACTTTCCAAGTATGATGTGTCATTTAATTGAAAATATTAAGAGTGATTCTAACTTCAAAATTATTTCCAGCAAAATTTTTAATGTAACTTCCATTTTAAAGGCTGAGTAGAGAAGATTTGAAAGGAATAAAATAGAGTAGAGAAGATTTGAAAGGAATAAAATAGAAAAATAAATGACTGATAGTAATAAAATTGTGAACTTATCAAATATTGAGAACATAAAATAAAGATAAAATACTCAGAGAAAAGATATATAAATGAACAGAAAAAACTGAAAAGAAATAATGAAGACAAAAACATCTGAAAGGAGAATTTAAAAAATAATAAAAACAAACAAAACAATATTTAAAATAAATTAAATCTATTTATTTCAATGCAGCCACGAAATTTAAAAAACAGTAAAATTAAAAACAAAATGTTAAAACAAAATACATGCAAAAAATGTAATATGAAGGAAGAAAGGTTAATTTTTTTCTTTATTTGTGTTTTTCTCTCTCTAAGACTTTTTACTCTCCTCTTTCTCTCTTTTCTTCTCTCCTTTCTTCTCTCTTTTCTTCTCTCTTTACTTTTTCTCTGTGTTTATCTGCTCTTTTTCTTTCTCTCTCTCTATCTCTCTCTCGCTCCCTGCACATGGCCGGTGGACCATTTATAAGTCACCCTATTTTGTGATTTTGTTAGATCGCTGCATGGGTGCAATTCAGCATGGTATAGATCCTGAGCAGCTAGCGGCACAGTTAGAGGGGATCCGAGATCCAGCCTGCACCTCCCCTGGGGATTCACCCTCAGGGTCTTCACAGCAGGAGTACTTCCTCACCCCAAGCATGTCTACCTCTGCTTGTAGCACACCGCACTCTGACCTTACCACCTCCACTTCATCTGAACGACAAAGACACGCAATTGACAAGGTAAGATTCGATAAACAGTGTCAAACCAACTGTGCCAACGCCAACAGCTAGCATTGCTTCCTGTACGTATGTGTGTGTGTGTATGTGTGTGGGTATATTTGTTCAGTTATATTTTCTTTTGATATCAATTGCCTCCATCTTCTCTATGTAAATATTCATTTACCTGTTTGTCTCATATGTTTTTTGTTAATTTCTCATAATTTGTTACCTTTATGTTTTTAATATTCATCCAGTTATTTTATTTTCTCTAATTAAGAAAATGTCATTATAGTGTAATTATTAAAAAAATAATAATAATAGTAATATGCTTAGTGTGTAATGCTACAATATTAAATGATTTTAAGTTACCTTAACATTTTAGATATTTTTAATTGATTTGTTAAAAATATTTTTCTGTAATATTTTTTTTTTTATTTCACAATCACAGGATTTTTACTTATTTTTAAATTTTATTTAATTTTTACCTGTTTAAAATATTTTTATTATAGAACTTTTTCTTTTTTTTTAATATTGAAATGTTTGGTTTATCAGATTAGATTGTTTTTAATATTTAAACATTTTTGTTTTTGTAGACTTTTTTTAAATTTTAGAACATTTTCACATAAGGCAAAAGTAGGAAAGGGAGTCACATGCAATTATCAATTATAATTTTAGTTACTAAAATCACTAAAAAGAAAAAAAAATATTCCTCCCTTACAATGATAGTTGCACTTTATTTATCATGAATGCGCCTTGTGTATGCACATTTTACACAGGTAGAATTTTTGTTGACATTTTTACACCTACAGAGATACAAGCATATATTCTAAAAAAGGTTGCTTAAAAATATTCAAATATATATATATATATATATATATGGCTGTCATGATACTAATCTCATAGTAAACAGGGCTTGTTTATAAGAGAGATCCAATTAATAAATATTGAAAAAGGTAATATAACTAACCAGTTGTACTTTTTTTGAAAATGTTAACATCATAAATGAAATTCTTCATAGTACATATCTGTCTGTGAACCACATTTGTAGATTAAAATGTCATTAACATGTAAACTTTGGTAAAAGATTTCAAAAGAAGGATTTTACTTTTCATTGAGTAAAATTGTCTGTTATACATTAGATTGGTGGTATTTGGAATTGAACCATGGATTTTGAGATCTTTGCCAAAAATATGTAAAGTTCTATATATATATTTGTAATGTGTGCTTTTGTCTATTTTTATATTACTTACTAAATTTACTTATCCTAGCAAAAGCATTAAGAGAGCATTTGCTACCTCAACAACTTTACCACAAATTCAGTCTATTAAATTCATCAAAAGTAATAGAACACTGTATCTTTTAGTGATTTTTCTTTCTGAAAAAAAAGAAAAAACAAGTTGGTTTTCTCCAATATGTTCAGTGGAGAAGTATATCAGCTAACATGTTTATTCAACTATGACTTTTCATTATCAACCACTTAAGAATGCATATCTCTCTAGGGTTATAAAATACAAGAAGATAATCTTGTTTGCAACAGATTATTATTTTCAAATTGTATTACACTGAGTGAATTTCTAGATACAAGATAAAGGTTTTAATAAAAAAAAATGGTTCTACTTACATAGATTTCTATGATTCTAAGAGTTGTTTTAACCATTGATCACAGTGCTTTGCAAAGAAAGGATTAGTGAGCAGGCACTACATATAAAATCTAGAATTGCCTGTTATATTTGATTGCTGTAAGATTTAGCATAATGGTTGGTTCAGTCAGTATATTTGCCACTATTTTCCTCTTTTTAAACAACATTTTTCTTTTTTATAATATTACTGGAAACAGATCCTATAAATCTTAAAATGACTATCCTTCATTAGACACTATAGACTAGCAATTCAAAAATGCAAACAAAGAGCTTTATCAAATAGCAAAAACTACATCACTTGAATGCTTCCAGCAACAATAAAAATTGGTAGCACATGTAACTAGATGAGAAAATAATAATACAGTCAAGATGTTGACATACCACACTATAAAATAAAAAACATTTGGTAAGCAATTCCTATCCATACTAGAAATAATGATAACAAAGGACTTGAGAAGTATAATTTCTTGAAAAAGTTATTTAATAAAAAGGTCTTATAAATTTCAACTGGCAGTAACACTGGATCCTGACAAATGAATGTTGAATGTTTCCTGTTGGGAAACAAGTAATTTTGTCATTCCCTGGTACTGACCAAAAAGAAAAATGATGCTTTACCCTACACCTGAGTAAGGCTGTAGAATGAAAAGCAAAATATTTTAGTTACAACAAAAGCATCAAGTTGAATGAGATCAATAGACTTGTAATGATAAGAAATAATTTTAAAATTACAGACTGTATCATTTAATACAAATTTTCATTGAATTTCAGATGTATAAGGCTTTAAATACTGTTAACATTACTCTTCTCTTTGCTACAACTACACCACCACCTGCTGTCACTTCTGTTAGAACAATGATTATGAAACAAAACCCTAATAAAGAACTGGTATATAACCACAGCATAGCATTAGTGTTGTTGCAGTGGTTTCCATAGCAAGTAGGTTTTACAATGAGGAATTACTGGCTCCACATTCAACCAGTTTGAATTTAGAGTTGTACTACTTCTAGACTGGTTGCAACTAAACACATTCTACCCTGCTATTTTATCCATGGTTGTAGAAAGAAAAATAAATTTATCTTTCCCAAGGGTTTTAGTTCAACATGAACAAAGTGTCTCAGCAGAAATTTTGAACCTTGCTCAATTCCATTTTCCATGCTGTTAACTTTTAGTTTATGTGCACCTCCTGAATTTTCTTTAGACATCACTTTTGTAGCTGTGACAGCTATTGATTTATGACATACTTCATTTGTCAAACATTGGAATTGTCTTAGAAAAAACATGCTTCTCTGACACTCCCTTTCCTAATAAGTCTTTTCTACCACCTAAACTGTTTCACTCGTCAAGTCATTTTAAGTTCTTCATGAACATACACATATATACACATTGTATGGATTAATATACATTTTACATGAACACACACACACACATATATATGAATCTGTATCTTTTTTATACACAAAGTAATGAAAGAGTTGTAGATAATCAAAGTAGGATTTCAAACTTTTGGGGATGTGTTATAAATAGCTAAATTCAATTGTCTATAAATCTGAGAATATTTTGTTTGGGCATTTGAACTCTTTTGTGTTCTTGATGCTACCACATTTTAGCTGATCCATTCTTCAGCCTGTATTGCATGTATAATCCATAAGAAAAAATGATGAATAAGACTAAACAATGGACTGGTTGAGAAGTTGAGCTCTAACAGCACCAAAGATATAAAATAGTCTACCCCAAATCTGGAAGATTTCATTAAAATTGTAAATGCTTGTTTGGTTCACTAAACACAACAATGAGACTAATACTTTAGGATTTATAGGGTCAACAATTGTATCTCTGTGGAAAGCTTTATCTTCAGATGATAGAAGAAAATCATTTATTAGCGTCTTTGAAATGTATTTTTCCAAGCTTAAGTGTAAAGACACTAACAAAAAACTGTTTTATAATGACTGAAATAAACAAAAAATGGAAAAAAATATAAGCTGATTTTTTCACACATTTATTTCACTTGAAAAATATAGATAAGTTATTACTTGCACCTTTTATATCACTTTCAAGTTGAATTTTACTATTATCTTCATTATTTAAGTTTGCCTGAGCTTGACATAGACAATATAATAAACACTATAGAACGTGAAGCAAAAGAATGAATCTTGAAAATTATCAGGTAGAAAGAATAAGAATAATAAGGGGCCAATATGAATAAAAAAATATAATATATTGCTTATAAATATTATAAATACAAACAACAACAATTTATCTGCATCTAACACCATTTTTAATACTACACACACAATAACATTCCATACATTCCTATAAAAACAGTATATCTTTAAAATCTTTTCTTCTCTTGAGAAATAAAGATACATTTGTTTGAGTATCTGCTTGTATGTGAAAGAGACTTAGTGCATATGTGTGCATGTTTGCTGACATTTAAAACAAGTTGTTTTTGACTTCTTACCTAACCCCAAACTGCTTGTCTTGAAATTCTTGAAGCCAGAAGCTTGACCAAATGCTATTCTGCTTGCTTGCTTGCTTGCTTGGCCACCTTCCTGCCTGATTGCCTTTTTCCTAGTCTTTTTGCACACAGATAATGCATCTTCCCAACATGCTTTTCTTCCCTGCTTTTTGGCTTGATCATTTCTTTTTTTCATTTCTTTCTCTTTTTACATTTTTAAATTTTATGATCAGTCATTTGGTTTCTTTTCTATATTTTCTTTCATTCACTTGTGATATTTGAATATTTTCAAGTAATGAGTAAATTTATGTATGATGGTTTTCATTTTAAGCATTTAAAAAATTATTTATGCATTTGAAATTGAATAAAAAATTAGCATATATATATATATATATATATATATATATATGCAATTTTTCTGTGTTTGCACCACTTATGTATATGTCTTTGTATAAATAATATTTACAAAAGTTTCTTTTTTTATGATATTCTTGGGACAAGTAATTTTTTGAATCATTGTTGAACATTTGTTTATTTTTATTGTGACACTCATCCTTTACATTTTTAGGTTTGTTAAATTTTTGGTTTATTTATCAGCTACGCACTAAATAAATCACTTAAAATTATATACAATGAAATGGAATACATTTTTAAGCTATTTTTCAAAATACAAAGAACCCAAGGAAATACTTTTATATTCAAATATACTATAGCTGTTTGCTTCTTTATATATATTTGTATATGCTAGCCACTGTAGGTTTAGAATCATGGGCTTGCCAAGGGTGAATAAATACATTAGTCATCAGATGCTGCCATTGATCAATTGATGATTATGCATTTTACATGTATCCAACACCATTTTAATTGGAATTTATATTTTGTGAAAAAAAATCAATACTCTATGGTGACTTTCAGTTTCATACCTC